TTGAGTATCAATAAAAGATATTGTTGAGAAAATGGTTGAACCATTGCTTTTGCTGTTTATGTTAAGGTCTTTCTAAACAATTATACATGGGGTCATAAGAACATAGTAACAGGAATAGACTATTCAGCCCATTGAGCTAGATCGTCAATGGCCTAGTGATATTATCGCTGGAATCCAGAGACCCAGAAAATGTTTTGGGGACCCAGGTTCGAATCCCACCACTGCAGATGGTGGAATTTGATTTCAATAAAATAACTGGAATAAAGAATCTAATGATGACCGTGAATCCATTGTCGATTGTCGGGAAAACCCCATCTGGTTCACTTATGTCCTTTTTAGGGAAGGAAACTGCCATCCTTACCTGGTCTGGCCTACATGTGACTTCAGACCCACAGCAATGTGGTTGACTTTGAACTGCCGTCTGGGGTTAGCAATAAATGCTGCCTAGCCAGCGACACCCTCACCCTGAGAATGAATAAAGGATCCACCATTTAATACAATCATGGCTGATCAAACATTTTAATACCTTTGACCCACACTATTCCCATAACCTGCAAAAGTGGAGGTTGTGTTGCATTATTAGTTAGGAAGTAACTACTGCAGGGATGATATCTTGAAAGGATTGTCAAATGAGGCTTTGTGGATAGATCTTAGGAATAAAAAGAGGGCAGGCACAGTTAGAAGTGCATCTTAGACTCCCAAATAGTCAATGGGCAATTGAGGAGCGTATATGTAATCAATTCATTAAAGCATATAACAATAATATTAGGGTAATTTATTAGGGGATTTCAACTCCCAAATATTATTTGGGATTTTCATAGGATAAAGTGTTTGGAGGGTGTGCATTCCATAAATAGGGGTGTAGACAGGATGGATAGAAAGCAGCTGTTCCCCTTAGTCAAAGAGTCAATAAGAAAGAGGCATATTTTTAAAGTGAAAGGCAGAGGTTTAGAGGGAATTTTGGGAAAAATGATTTTACCCAGAGGGTGGTGATCTGAATTGCATTGCCTGGGATGGTAGTTCAGGCAGGTAACCTTGGGCAAACTTTTAAAAAGTACTTCAATAAGCACTTGAAATGTCATAACATTCAAGGCTATGGTACAAGAAAATGTGAATAGTGTGGATCACAATATATGTTTTGGCAGTATGGACTCAATGGACTGAAGGGCCTTTTTTAAATTCATTCATGGGATGAGGGCATCGCTGATCAGTCAGCATTTATTGCCCATCCCTAATTACCCAGAGGCCAGTTTTAGAGTCAGCCACATTGCTGTGGGGCTAGATCACATGTAGGTCAGACCAGGTAAGGATGGCAGTTTTCTTCCCTAAGGGGCATTCGTGAACCAGATGGATTTTTCTGACAATCGACAATGGTTCAGGGTCATCATTAGATTCTTAATTCCAGATATTTTATTGAATTCAAATTCCATCATCTGCCATGGTGGGATTTGAACCTGTATCCCTAGAAGATTACCTGGGTCTCTGGATTAACAGTCCAACGATAATACCACTAGGCCATTGCCTCCCCCAAACTGACTGTATGATTCTATGAACCTTTTAAGTTACTGATAATCAGGTTCCAGAGATGTACCAACTCGATTAATTTTTCCAATACAACTTTATTATTAATAATAATTTTCTTCAACTCCTCATTCTCCCTAGTTACTTCGATCTCTAATTCTGAGAGACTTGTTGTCTATTTCTGAGTGAAAACAGATGCAAAGTAATCATTTTGCTTCTCTGCCAATTCTCTATACCTTTTCTTTCCCTGGTGTAATAGACTTGTGTTCTATTGTTAAAAGCACATCATATGAATATGTGCAGTGAATAACCACCATGGTAACCAAACTGCAAAAATAAAACTTATGATTTGTCAGCTAGGTTTGACTCTGGGACTTTGCCATAATACAATCAGTTGGGATCATTACAAGTGTCACATGATAGTTGGCAATAATGTCACTATGCTAACATTGCAAGTTTATTTTTCTTCACAAAATAACAATAAGGCTAATGGCAGAAATGCAATTTTAGGTGAGGGACAAATACGAGATTAAACATAATTTGTAATTGTTGATTGTGTTGTGTACATCCTGCCAGAGATTTAGAAAATGGCTCTCCTCTTGTGGGCGGCACAGTGCCTCAGTGGTTAGCACTGCTGCCTCACAGTGCCAGGGACCCAGGTTCGATTCCACCCTTGGGCCACTGTCTGTGTGGAGTTAGCACATTCTCCCTGAGTCTGCGTGGGTTTCCTTCCACAGTCCAAAGATGTGCAGGCTAGGTGAATTGGCTGTGCTAAATTGCCCGTAGTGTTCAGGGATGTGTAGATCAGGTGGGTTATACAGGGATGGATCTGGGTGGTCTCTGAGGGTCAGTGTGGACTTGTTGGGCCAGAGGGCCTGTTTCCACACTGTCGGATTTTTTGGATTCTTTCTACTTTACTATTGAATGCTGTATTTGGGTAGCTGGATGCTAGATGGGAACTATGTATGCAATAGAACATTGGATGCAAGATTCAGCTTGTGTTGCCTTCTGGAGATAGAAAGTATTGGGAGCACTTCCAAAGCAGCATGACAAGCAGTGCAGTTCTCCAGTTCAATGTGTGAGTGCATAGCTAACATCATCCAGACCATTACATGGACGTAATCTGTAATCTGCTGTACTTTGGTGATGACTGTACTTCCATCTCACACAAAAAGATTCAGATTCCAGGCTGATAAGGATGCATTAGCACAAGGATAGGACACTCCATATTTCTGAACACAGGAGCACAAGAAATTGGACCAGACGTTGTAGAGTTAGATTATCGGGCCCTTTGCTCTGCTATCCAATACAATTGTGGCTGATGGAGTTTCAAATTCGTTGGTTGTGTGATCATGTATGAATATTATATAGTCATAAAGTCACACAGCACAGAAACAGTCCCTTCGGTCCAACCAGCTCATGCCAACTATAATCCCAAGCTAAACTAGTCCCACATGCCTGCGCTTGGCCAATATCCCATATCTTTAATATAGTGAAAATTATCAAGTTATGTGTCACAGAAGCAAGATCGAACAAAATTTAACATGGAATGTCATAAGGAGATATTGGGATTGCCAAATGTTTGGCCAAAAAATTAGATTTTAAGCAGCAGTTTAGACACAGGAGAGTGTAATCTATAATGAACGCGGTCTTGAAATATAACTTTTTTGGTTCGTACAGATTTTTTCCATGTTGATATATTTATATCTAAACCCAATCAATTCAATAGTTATTACATATAAACAAATCTTTATCAATCGACTAAAGGAAACCTTTTGAACCTTATCTTCAAGACTGCATTTTTATGCTTTGAAGTTATTTAATAGCATGTAACAAATGCTGTGTTAGTGGCTAGCTCACTACCATCAAATGATTTGAATCGATGGTCTATGGCCAATGCTATCCCTTGCATTATTCGGTAACTTGGGGCTGTACTTCAGCAGTCAGTAAATCTGCAGCTACAGTTGTAAGCACAGACCAGGAAATGGATTGGCAGGCAGGTGCAATGCCTGTTCACTTACCCTCTCTGATGGGGTTTTATGAGCAGCGGGAATGGTGTTAAGTGGCCCATCACCTTTGGATGAATTGAGGCCTTTAAACAGTCAGTTAATGGCACCTGTAGGCCATTTCGCACCTTCCTCCTATTGCATCTTGTAAAATGGCAACAGCAGTACGTAGATAGATCGTAGGGGCCATCCTCTGGGCACTCCTGTTTGTTCGCACACCCCACACCTCCTTATCACAGCCCTCCCCATCCACCTTTTGCTGAGGCCTACTTGACTGGTGCCAGTGAAGTGTCCCCAATTTCCCTTTCAGTCCTCCATTGGCTCCTTATGGGCAGCTCCTGGGACTGTCTGTCAGCCAGCAATTCCTGTTACATGGGAGGGAGCAGAAACCACCACCTCGGGCATTTGACGACTACTTCTTATTTCAATACTATACTTTAATCATAGAAATATCTTTGTATATATACATAGTCCCAAATGCAGTTATGTTCTGTATGGTAGCATTTCAAGGATACAAACAAACTTTGGAGTTCAACTCTTTCCAAACAAACTAAAGACAATTCTTACACATACAAGACTATATTTACATGCATTGAGGCACTAGGAGGATCCGATAACTGAACAGAGCCGCATTTAGCTTCAGCAGGAAGATCTCAGACAGTGGCCTTTCCCCACTGCACTTTGGCAGCAGCTTCCCCAAGCTTTAGTGTGTCCCTCAGCACGTAGTCCTGGATCTTGGAATGTGCCAGTCTGCAACACTCACTGGAGGTCAACTCCTTGCTCTGGAAGACCAACAGGTTTCGGGCAGACCAAAGAACGTCTTTCACCGAGTTGATGGTCCTCCAGGCACAATCGATGTTTGCCTGTGTGTGCGTCCTGGGGAACAGACCATAGTACGCAGAGACCTGCATCGTGGAGCTGCTCGGGATAAACCTAGACAAAAACCACTACATCTTTCTCCAGACTTCCTTTGCAAAGACACATTCCAGAAGGAAATGTGTGTCTGACAACCATTAAATCTGGTTGTGCCTTCGCAGCTTGCACAGAGGGTCAGCCCTATCTATTCAGTTGGAAAACATTAGTTTATGTGGAAGCAGAGGTTTTGGAGAGGTTGAAAAGTTGCAACCAGAATCTCTTGTGCCTAGAAATGTTTCAGACAAGTTCCCAGAAATGTCTGCCTACAGGTTCAGTTAACTTGATTTCTCATGCAGTTTTTAATATTAAGCAGTAATAAGATTCATGTACACCTGTGTTGCAGAAACATGAAGTTGCAATACAGATCTACTTACAAAACACTCAGTTCATATCTTAACTGCCAAAATCATTACTTCCGTGCTTCTTCCTAATTGCATAGCTATTTTATGCTGACGATTTGTGATTAGTTGGTAAATGCATAAAGTAGAACAACCAAAACAGGTGATTCTTTTCCCCTATCACTAATTGTATGAATTTTTCATCTGGCTTATTTTCTAGGAGAGAGAGTGAAATGCGGATCCCTAATGGTTGGCTGTGTCATCTGGCTCCTGAAATTATTCAACAACTTTCTCCCTCGACAGATGAAGACAAACTCCCATTCTCCAAGCAATCAGATGTATTTGCATTTGGGTTAGTTCACTGCTGTATCATAAAACAAGAACTGTATGTCTGGTGTAAGAAAAATAATACATTAAACAAAACATTACAGAGAGAGAGATAGGAATAGATTCTCAACATCCTATAACTTTAAAACTGTGTTAATGCTTTGACATTAGTCAATTATTTCTTATATATGTCGTGTTGCTAGTTACTGTCCCATCATAAGGCTCATCAGTGTTGGGTTTAGCTACTGTTTCTGAATCTGAGGTCTTACTCAGGGTTCATTAAAATAGCTTTCAGGGGGTCTGCAAAACTGCATGAAGGTGATCTAAAGTAGGTCTGACTTTATGGATGGACCACTTGGGTGACTACTCATGCCACCATGCCAACAAGTAACCTCTCAGGACATGTAAACCCTTTCACATTATTCCATTGAGCTGCAGAAAGTCTCTACAGACCCTAGTTTGAGAACTATGAGCAGAGATTCCACCCCTATTGACTAGTCTGATAGTGGGAGTTGGGGAATCAACTCATTTGAAACTATGGCCCAGTTAGAACCGATTTTCACTATTTATATCTTTTAATAACGAGCTGGGTGGACATAAAAATTTACCCATTGTTTCTGTTGAATAACAATTGTCCAAAGCCTGTTTCTAGAAAGTACATATAAAGTCATTTTTATTTGTCATTTACGCAGTTTTCTGCTTTCATCTGCTGTTCCAGGTGTCATTACCAAGCACTCTTCTTCAATAGCTTAATAGAATTTCTCTTAAACTTTGTGACATCACTTTTGGTGATATACAATAATTAATATTGTTATAAAAGTACATCAGGAGCAACCACAACCAAATCTTAAACACAGTTGCTGTGTGATTGTATGACTCTATGACAGAGCATAAATATTTTTTGGATACATTATTTTTAAATGATTGGATGGGAGGATTAATGACTGCTGTTTGCATTCAATATATTAACATGGAATCTTTGTTCTTTGCCTATTCAATGATTACTCTGTGGAGTTTGTGAAAATTGCTGTAGGTATTTTCCCTTTACTCCAATACTCCAACAGAACAGCTTAATGAATACGTTCACAAGAAAAGAATGTTACAGCGTGTCCTGATATTGGTCGTCATTGTACGGATCATTTTATATACTACCACTGTGCAGATAACATAAAGTGCAAGAAATTAGGTACAGGGGAGAGACTGGAGTGAATGTTGTCCTCTTTGAAGCAAATATTTTATATGACAACTTATTAATCTGTAAAAATGCAAAGAGTATACCAGTGCGTTTAATGAGATTGATTGATTGAACTAGACTTTATATGAGTTGTCTATTCCATACTTTGGGTGATTCAGCCTTTATTTTCTCATGATTTTCTATTATTAATGTGATACAAATTTTATAATTTGACTTTCAGTTGAAGCCCTTTAATAATCACAAAATATGCTGAAAATTTTCTAGCATGCTTTCCATGGCAGGTTTCAATATTATTCAAACACCCATGAAAGCTACATGGCAATATTTATTGTCACAATATGTAATGTATTAAAGTGATGAAGGTTGCAATAGAAATGAAAATGTTTAAATTATAGCTCCCTCTTGTATTCCAATGAACTTCAATCATAGAATGTATTTCATTTACATCTGTCCTAAAGGTATAAACAAAACATTGCATGGTAAGAGAAGTTTTTGTTGTTGCAAGTGCAAAGGTGTTTTAACTCAGCCTTTCTGCTGCTGTAACCTGTTACAAAAATTCAAGTAGAGATTTGGGTGTTTCTTCTCCTGCCTATTGGGAATGAGTGAAGTGGTACAATTCTACATCAGTACAATTTTTTTTGGAAACACAGTACTGATGGATTGCATGCATTTATTCATTTTTATGACAGAACCATATGGTACGAGTTGCATGCACGTGAGTGGCCTTTCAAGAATCAGCCAACAGATGCGATAATATGGCAAGCCGGGAGAGGCATGAAGCCTAGTCTAAGTCAAATTGGCGTGGGCAAGGAGATTTCGGTATGTAGAAATCAGTTTGTTCAATATCTTCTGTGCAAAGCAATTTTACCACCTATCTCTAATTTACAAGCAATTAGACAATTTCTTTTCTAAATTGGTGCCAATACACTAATACATTATGGAGCCAACAGTAAAAGATGGTATTTCCCTCTTCTTTTTCTCCACTTGCTGAGTTTCCAATCTCAGCCAGGCTATCATGGGGAGGTGTTGAAAAGAGCTAAGAAAATTGGATCTCTACTGTCCGTTCTCGTAATTATTGATTCAAAACTACAACAGTAAAGCTTTGAAACAGGCTATCTACTCCCCATTTAATTTGTGGTTAGAGAACTAAACAAAAGAAAAAGATTAAACACATGCAAGGCAAAATTGCAAAACAATGTGCAGGACACTTTTCTGTTGAATGACTATTATTGTGTTGTAAATAGTGCTGGGATGATTGAATAGATCAATTTTATGAAAAAAGCATACAACTACGTAACTAGGTACGCGAAAGAATCAGTGCACACATCTGTATTTGTACCATTCTTCCTCAGTTTTTGCTGATTGTAGTTGCCTGTCATGTTAAAGGAAGATCTTTTTCCAAAGCTTTTTTTGCAGTTGTTAATTCATGTAGCCAATGTTTTCATTGAACTCAGATGCTATTAAAGCAATGCTGCTTGATTCCCAGCTGACTCCTTCTCCATCTGCCCACCCCGGATTGCAACCTTCTATCTCTTCCTTTAAGTGTTCATATATGATTCAGATCTGCTAAGAGGCTCAAAGGTTGCAAGCACATTGCCTTAAAATTAGCAATTTCTTCTGATCTTCATGGCTGTCTTGCTAATACTGTATTCTTGAGAACAGTATTGATGAGCTTTCACACCCATAGTTTTAGTAAAGCTTGTCATCACTGTATAGCCTTTTCCCTCCATAAAGTACTTGTTTTAGAACAGGGATATGGTAGCTTGAAATAACCTTTACCTCTCTTTCATACAATGTCAATTTTGTACAATTGGTTAAATGCAATAAAAAATATTTCAGAAACCAATGTCAGTAATAATTCTGTTACATTTGTATCATTTGACAATGTAATTTTGTTTTCATGCTGTTATTTATAAATCCAAATGTTGAACCTCCAACAATGTCATTACTGCATTGATATTAATTCATCTGGTTCTTGCTATAATTCCCATTAGGCAAATTTAGCAATATTCTGTTTTTAATACCTGTTATACAATGTGTTACCTTTGAGCAGTTGAAAATAAATAAATACCTTGGTTGAGCAAGTGATTTATAAAATAAATTAGTGCACCTTTTATCTGTTTCCAATTGATTCCAGGATATCTTGCTCTTCTGCTGGGCCTATGAGCAGGAAGAGCGTCCCAGTTTCTCGAAAATCATGGAGCTACTTGAGAAACTTCCCAAGCGAAATCGCCGCCTCTCCCACCCTGGACATTTTTGGAAGTCAGCTGAATACGTTTCCCTTAGCTCCAATGTGTGAAAGTCCAGATACAAATTGATGGATTTCGGAGCACCTTAGCATTTCATGCATTACATTGCTTTAATGTTTCAAACGGTTGGTGGGAAAACCAGATCAATCCTTCAAGGACGCTCAAGTTGGGAATCAGAGACTGAAACTCCAAGTGAGTGTTTTAAATCTCAGTCATGGCCTAATAAAATTTGCAGCAGTAGCAGGCACAATTTAGCACACTCTTTTGGTCACTGCCACTCCAAGCAAAGGGAAGAAGGCAGCAGAATGTGGAAATAGCATTTGGTTTAGCTGAGTGGTTTCTTCTAACTTTGAGTTGGTATAAAGGCAGTCACGGAAAACTCACTTGGAGAAAAGACCAGCTGAGTACAAAACAAAAATTCTTATTCATAAATTCAGTGACACATTTGCCAAAAAACTCAGTCTTGCATGATACTGTGACTGCTTTGTATCTATCTGCAAATGAGGAAAGTTCCAACTGCTCAGATGGTTTCTCAAAAGAATAATATTGCATAAAGTGTGGAAACCTGATGAGACCACTTTTGTGAAAAAGAGTGCTGTTGTGACTCAGAAGAATGTGTGACCGTGATTAATGTCCTGTATTTTAGCACAGTGAATAAGATCACACCATTTAAGTTGTGTGATATAAAATTATTTAGAGCAACAATGTAATTATATCAGAGTTTGATAATACATGCAATCGTAATAATAGAAAGTTACCACAAAATTGAACACTGGGCTCTTTGTTTGGTCTCTAATTTAAGTTCTGTTATACTTGGATCTTGTGCCAAGGCAGGAGTTGAAAAAGGTCACAGTATATCCTGAGCATGAATCCAAAATTATGGTAAACTAAATGGGCTGAATGGTCTTTTCTCATTGCTACCAATTTAATGAGGTTTTTTTTATCAGCAACTTTTGTGTCCATTCTGACCTATCACCTGTAATAGGATTATCCTGTGCTGAATCTCTTTTTTTTGTCACCCATCTCTGGACAGGAAATTACAAAAGAACAGTTGATATTGGTCACTGGTACCTTTTATCCATATTCTTTAATATCCCAATGACTACAGGCTCATGTCTGACTTCCTGCTGCTCCCTGGCAACTGTTGTCCCATCTACTTCTGCATACCCACACTGCCAACTGATTGTGCCAACTGTTGCTCTGAAATAAGCAATTTTTTAAAAATATCAAAAAGCATTTCAATGCAAACAAAACAACATACAAACATTTCATAAACTCAATTAATATTTTAACCATAAATCTTTACCTTGGATACATTGGTTCAGCAGATCTTTGTCATAATTCATTCAGTATACCAGCAAATCATATTATTGTACTACATGGCATCTCAGAGCACGGGTCTGTCTTTACTTCTGAGGCATTTCTGTGTAATTTTTCTACGTGCTTTACTTTATTAAAACATCTTAATGTTTGGAATGTTTTTTCAGTTTAATTGATCCTTTTGAAAATTGAAACTTGTCTGTATAAATGACTGATACAATCTGTATCTTCATGGCCCTGAGACAGATCATGTCCAGGCAGATGGGATTAGTTTAGAATGGCATCATGGTCGGCACAGATATGGTGGGCCAAAGGGCCTGTTCCTGGTCTGGACTGTTCTATGTTCATCTGTGTTTACTAATATTGTTAAGTGTGGTCCACAAGTTAAAGCTGTAGTTCGTCAAAAAGTGGTATTATCCAGCACTGGAATTTTATTAATCCTTTTCCATGATAGAAGTTCACACTATCTATGAAGCCTGTGTGAATAAAGAGAGAAATTGCATTTATATAGCTCCTTATAATGTTCTCAGTACAGCACAAAATATTTTGTAATCAGTTGATTACTTTTGAAATAGAGTCTCAGAATCTGGAGACAGGGCACACAGCCTGAACTAAACTAAAGCAGCAAACTAAATGACCATTCGATGTTGAGGGAAGGGTGTTGGCCAACAAACTAGAGGAAATTTCTACTTGACCTTGCAAAGTGTCATGGGAGTTTTGCATCCAGTTGAATCACTAACCTTGATTGATCATCTTATATGGAAGACAGGCCTTCCAACAATGCGGCAGTCTCTGAATGCTGCTTTCAAATGCCATCTTAGATTATGTTCTCTAATCTGCAATAGGCATAAATCCACCACTCTTGACTCAGCGTTAGGAGTACTGTCACTAAGCTGTGTTGACAGCAATAGCACAGCTGCACACTGAGTCTGCAGATGCCATTTAACGTGCAGGTACATTGACGTCCAGTTCTGGAAGTCACTGGCATGCATAGACCTCAGGGGTATGGGAGCATATATTGACGACAAATGTTTGGAAAATCATTCCGCACATACAATGATGCCATTTCCATCAGTTATTTCCCACAGTTCATGAAGGTTATATCATTGCCTCTGAGTACCTAAACTTATTTTTAGTTTGAAAGTTTGTTGTAATGAAAAGATACAAAGTCTGAAAATAATAGTCAATTAAATAGCAGTTTTAATATAGCTATCTGCACTAAATCATTGCATAAAGTAATATAGTGCCGAACTTGCGTTATTCTTTTCCGCTAAGTTTCATTTCCCATATATGGCATAAAAACATATTCAGAAGTTATTTGGATTTGGGTTTGTGCCTTTGAAGGTATTGATCATAGTATATTCACAACAGGAGTTGTCAACTCAGCTGACTCATCATGAGGTAGTGCATTTGGCCCAAACATCCTCAGCTGTATAGCACTTTGTGCCTTAGGGCAATAGCTTCAACAAAAGTTATTCTTGACAAGCCCACAAAGGTAGGACATAGCGGAGCAGCTGTTGGTTGTGATGGGCGATTATGGTTTGTCCATTACAGTTGCGAGAAATGTTAAATGTAGATACAAGGCTAGTTTTGATTCAGTTTTTTGGTTTGTGTTTTAATGCCAGTTTAGTTTTGTTGTCTTTGTTCTTAGATTGTTTCAGTGTTCTCAAGGCTTTGTCTTAAGAGTAAATCACAAGACCCAAATGATAGAAACTTGTCCTCTTTCATTTCGTCCTTTTTGCATCTTTCAATCTGTGTTCAGGAAAGGAAGGCATTTAAATCCAGTTTAGTATCAGAGTTTAAGTAGTCAATCCAAACTAAATAAACTAAGCATTTCACATGTTGGAAGTTCAAATAATGTTACATTAAGGTCCATTCAGGAATATTCGAGATGATAAATAATTGAAGTTTAACCATTTCATGTAACTAATGCAATAATTTGGCATGAGATTTTATGATAAAGGAAAATAAACATATATAATGTAAAACTATCCGTGGTAAAAATGAAATATCTAATGAAAAATTGAACAGCCAAATCAATGATATTTCCATTTAATTTGCAAATAAAACATGATTTGTTTTAAAATAATTAGCTAAAACTATTCATTGTTACATGTTAAGTTGGATTTTGTTTCTAAGTTTCATTTGATGTAATATACTTAAGCTTCATGTTTTTTGGCAAAATAAAAATAGATTATGGCTCTGCACAGTTTCAACATTTTAGCTCGTCAACAGGTCCAGGAATATTGGTGTTTAATAGGCAAATTGAATTTGTATGTTTCAGCTCACACAATTTAATAGTTAAAGAAAACAAAGACTTGTAATATTACTGAAAATTTGGAGATATCTTTATCACTGCAATATTCACCATAATTAATGACAACACTGAAAACATAATTCTAAATAAATTTGAAAAGTCGGTTGTGCCACTTTCCCTGTCATCCCTTCTTTCTTCTAGCTTCTCAAACACATTTCAATTTTGATTCATTTTTCATGATTTAATCAATACCACAAATCTGATTGTCTTTTCTCTAGCTGCTGTGTTTTCCATCTATTTTAGAAGTGGGAACAACTTTGTTTCAAAATAACCATTGGCGCTTCACTCATTAAATTGTAGCTCCTCGGAGTTTATTTTCCTCAGTGATTTGAATGTCAGGATCCAGCCATTGGCTGGGCATTCTTGACCAAAACAATCAATGATTGTCTGCCTATTCTGACAATGAGTGCTGCCAATTAATTATTCTCATCAACATTTCCCAAAATAGTATGCCCGGGTGCATAAGTTTCTTCACAATATATTTAAGGTCAAGACTACATAGGAATAGTAAGCCATTCAGTCCTTTTAATTTGCTCTGCCTCTAATATGACCACAACTGCTCATCCAAATCAATGCCTTTTTCCTGTGCTGTCCTTATCCCTACATGTCATTAGCATTTAGAAATCTGTCAAACTATATTTAAACATATACTCATTGAATGAGCTTTCACAGCCCTCAAGGGTAAGAGAATTCCAAATGTTCTCAACCACTTGAGCAAAAGAAAACTCTTTCCTCATCGTAGTCCTAAATTAATTCCTCCTTATTTTGAAATTGTGTCCCCTGGTTCCAGACTCCCCATCCAGAGGAAGTAACTTACTTATATCCATCCCTTTTACATATTTTGTAAGATTCACTGACAGCACCTCTTTCTTCAGAGCTCTAAAGGACCAATTTTCCCAATCAATCTTCATAAGACTATCCTGCCATTCGGGAACAAATCTAGTGACCCATCATGGCATTCCCTCTCTGACAATAATATCCTTCCTACAATAAGGGTCCAAAACTACACACAGAACTCAGGGTACACTCTGACAATGTTCTTGTACTCCATCTACAAGGCACAGTCAGGAGTATGGTGGACTACTGCCCATTTGCTTGGCTGACTACAGCTGCAGTGACACTCGACAAACTCGACAACGTCCAACACAAGGCAATTGCTTGATTGGTCCCCCATCAATGACTGACACGACGGGCCAGCAGTGTCTGCCATCCACAAGATGCATTGTAGTAACTTACTAAGAATTTAAACCTGAAAGTCCAACAATACTACATCCACCAACTCTCTGTGATCAATTCTGTTGGTAACGTCCTCAAAATCTCCAACATGCCAAACATGATTTCCTGTTCACAAATCCTTGCTGATTATGTCAATCAGATCATTATTTGTCCACATCTCCATTTATCACATCATTT